TTTATAATATAAAACATACCGGTGACAAAAATGAGCCCATTCAAGTAGATCGTTTCTGTTCCAAAATGCATTTTTAGAATGTAAATGAAATTTTGAAAAACAAATAAAAACTAGCAAAAGACCACACCCTTTGTCTTTCTCATATTTGTTGTTTTTTACCCATCAAAAAAATAACTGAGCAGTAAAAGCAATACACTCTAATGGCTTTTCCGCTTTTTTTTTTTCTCCTCCAAAATTGAACATGGCGTCCAGGACTACGATGCAGACGACATCGAGGAGTTCAAGGACATCCTGCTGCGCGAGTGCGACATCAACCACGACGGCCGTATCGACAAGGACGAGCTCTCCATGGTCCTCGTCTCCTTTGCCAAAGCATCTCAGGGTCCCGAGGGGGAAGAGGGAGGCGAGGAGGCAGCGGCTAAAGACGGAGCGGTCAAGGAATAGTGATTAGGAACTCTCACGAGAGTACCGATGTCTATAACAATTTGATAACGACGAATTTCTTTTTCTATTTTCTTTCATTTTCTTGTTATTCGATTATACGCAGAACGCAACGCGCTGTGACGTAGCAGGTTGTTCACAGTAATATAAGCGTCTACAAAGAAAATTGGGACGTTTTCTGACGTAAATGTTAATGTTTCCAGTACTGAAGTTTAACAATTCTTTGTACAAATAAATCTATACTGAAATAGAGGGGGAAAAAAGGATGAAACCAACATATTACCTTATTATTATCAGATAAGCTTTGTGAGACTGTGACAACAACTTTGGGCAAAATCTAGATCTATGTTTTCTTTAAGGTTTTATGGTAGTTTCCTTACACAAAAACTGATACGGACGAAAAGCCAAGGTGTAATTTTAGCCAGCACCCCAAAACCAGGCAACTATTCATTTAATCGAAACATTACTATGAATAGATCTAGTGTTCCTGGTATAGAGAAGGAAGGCAGATAACAACAAGCGTACAGGCAAAAACAATAAGCTTGAGGAGACATTTCCGAAGATGTTGAGTAACGAAAGTAGCCGCAGAAAGATTTGTGGGAGGAAGGGAGGGAGGTTCACATTTTCCTTGCTCTACTCTTCAACATTCTGTTCCAAGTCCATATCCCACGTGTTCAGAAAATTCACGAAGAATTATGCTATTTTCCAGCAGCATTTAAATTCCCTTTGGAAAGTTTTGTAATGGATACATCATGATCATCAATCTCTTCCCTTTTTTTGGGTTTTTTTTATTTCTGTCCGTAGCCCGAGATGTTAATACCATGTTCGTATCTGGACCAAATCTATAACTCTTATTCTTTTCCAAGTGGCATTCCGCTTAGAATGTTCAATTTTAAATATATATTATGTTTTCTGCTTCTATTTTAGCTTTTTTGGTTCGCCACCTGCATTTTTTTGTTTACATTATTCTATACTTCAATTTACCTTTTTGTATTGTATCAAGGACCTATTTCCTGATTTTCAACATAACTTGAATAAGTATGTTTTATCAATGTCATGCTCTTGCTTTGATGTGCTTCAGAAAGCAAAAGTCGAGAGCGCGTGTGACTGTTCAGTACATGTTTCTTGTCATAAAACAGTGGCTTGAGCTATTCCCGCGGGCGGAGAGAAGACTTGAATCACGCATACACACACACACACACACACACACACACACACACACACACACACACACACATACAGAGTAATACGCACTCAAAGATTTGAATGGCACATAATCTTAGCGCACAAGGGAGGCGGTGTTCTGTAAAAATACTCATATTAGTTAACCTCACAACGTATAATATCATTCTAGAGCTATTTCTCATAGTGCACACAATCACAAGTATGTAATGAAAGGCCAATGTCCGTTCGACTCTATTCGTCAGACGGACGGTGGGTTGACTCAAAATGAAAAATGGCGTAATGACTGGGTCAAGTAGAGAGAAATATAAGGCAGCGACTTTCCTCTGGATGCGGTGGAAGTGGGGTCGGATAATGGAACTCAAAGGTGCCGTGTGAACAAGGAATAGAGATAACATGATAAAGCAATTTATCTAACAGAAATAGATAGATAAATAGATAGATAGATAGATAGACAGACAGACAAGCAGACAGACAGAAAGACAGACAGACAGACAGACAGACAGAAAGACAGACAGACAGACAGACAGACTTATAGATAGATAGATAGGTAGATAGATAAACTGTACTAAAATGCAAATTAAGCATAAATGAAATAATGTAAACAAGGCACAGATTATAATCAGAATAGACGTCTCTCCCCAGTCGGTGCCCCCTATTCCATATATTTATTCCTTTTTTCTTGGAAGAACAACATTAAACTCCAAAACAGCATAACAGCACAAGATTCAAAGGTTTAAGGTACCGCAAGTATGCTCGCTTACATGCGTGTTCGTTGTAAGGCTTTCGTTTGCCGTTCCATCTGATTTATAATGTGGAGTATATTTCCTGTCGGTCTTTGTGGGGAATAAAAGACTGCAATTTTGTTCACAACAATTAATTGTATCGGTTCACCAGAATTGATTGTTTTTTATTAGGGTCAGAATGGTTGTATGGAAGTGTGTGTGTGTGTGTATATGTGTGTGTGTGTGTGTGTGTGTGTGTGTGTGTGTGTGTTTGAGTGTGTGTGTCTGTGTGTGTATGTGTGTATATGTGCGTGCATGTGTGTGTGTGTTTGCGTGTGTGTGTGTATGTGAGAGAAAGACAGAGAGTGTGTGTAGTGTGTGTGTGTGCGTGTAAGTGTGTGTATGTATATGTGTGTGTGTGTGTGTGTGTGTGTGTGTGTGTGTGCGTGTGTTTATATGTAGGATTATATATATAAAGAGTAAGGGAGAAACCATGAGAGTGAGATAGTAAATGAGATAGGGGGAGAGAGCAAGGTAAACGAATGTTTGAATTTACCTTTTGTTTGAAAAATCATTTACCATAATTATTATTATAGGAGAACACTAGCCTACGAAGCTGAGGCATTGTTCTAATGCCATAAACGACTTTTATCCTTCAAAGCCAAAGTGACAAATACCAAAACTAAGCTGTTGAAGAAAAGGACCTGAGCTGTCCTGTTAATTCAAGTAAAGTAATTTCAAGTTTAAAAGACATCTGGTTTGTAAATAGTCCTCTTCCTCTCAAGCACTTAGACCTAAATGATCTCCGGCGCCTCAGTAAAATTGTCTTTTTCTTCAAAAAGTTTAAATTATCTTTTAAGAAAAGTGCCCACCTGATAAACTGGAAAAAGAAACTCTGCACAAACTCTTCTATTGAATATATTAATTAGATTAAAGTCGAAAATTCAGCAGTGGAATAATTCAAAATCGATATCCTTTTTCTCCACTGAAAAGTAATTTCCAGTGGAAGACAGCTGTGGAAATGAAATTGTGTGAAATGGCTGCTGTCAAATATACCCCAGAAGTTATGCCTGCATTGTGTATATAAGAGAAATGTGAATATTGTGTACCTGTATAGCTTTATACTTTCAATGAGTGCTTATCTAATTTTGCAGTCCCAGCCTAGATTCTTTGCTGCCGCAGTTCCCTAGGATATTTGTACATATGTCAACGTATATATGTAGTTGTTGGAACAGATCACTCATTTTCCCCATCTTTTGCTGGAATTTCCATCTTTTTCTTAATTGTATCGCTTGCGTTCGTATCAATTGTGTAATCTACTATGCTGATATTTTTATACTTTTGGTGAGAGTATGACGATTATAACTTTTGCTTCCGACGAAAGATAGCGAGAGTGAAGATACAAAAGTGAAGGAAAAAGGCGTGGGAGGTGAACTTGTTTGCCTCTGCAAAGTGTAATCGCAGCGAATTTAGAAAAAGATCGCCTCTTTTTCTGGATTGACCGTAATTATGGAGAATTTAGGTTGGGAAAAGATCATTCTGAAGACGCAAGAGCGATGCCATGGTAGTTTTTTCGTGGTAGGGCTTACTGTTGATTGTTACGAAAGAACCACCAACTGCAGGGTCTGCCTTGTCGTTCACAAAGTAACAGTTTAACAAGAATACGCTTCAGCGAGTCGTTACATGTCGAGTAAAGGCGCCGATGTCATCAAATACGAATGTTTGCTTTAAGGCGGGCTGAAATATTCTATTATTCTCAACAAGAAGCGCTCGCACTTGGCGTTGTTAGTGTTCGATTCTGTGCGGAAGACGTCATAGGAGGTTAATAGAAGAGTTTGAAAGTGACTAAAGGTTTCTCTTTAAAAAGGAAAAATTGAAAACTTTCGCGTGTGTGAGGATGGACAAACGCTTAATTAAGAAAGAATCACAGCCCAAGAACGGTGACTGGTGACTATGGCTTCCACATTGTTGATTCATTTCATTAATTGAAACATACCATACACAATGACCAACTATACTGTTTATAATTATCAATCGCAAGCTTTTCTTGCCCCCGTTTTAACTGTGCTTTTAAAGCTTCTCTGGTTTGCTGTCGTCATGTCGTGATGTAGAAACATTTTGATTGCCTGCATTTTGTAACACTGGTTAACGAGAAAACATTCGAACTGGACTGTCGCTAACCTTGAAAGGTAAGGACAACATACCCCTAGTTCTTGGAATGACGTCTTTTGCAAAACTAACAAAATATAGTTAAATCTTATGTAACCAAAAAATTGCGATATTGCTGTTCATTGGTTCAAGTTCATTCTTCAACCACAAATACCATGTTTGCTTTGTCTTTTCTTTCCTCAATTATTCTTCTTTTAAACTTACTCTAACTTAACTGTACAGAAAACCTTTTCACTTTACCTACTTAATCTGCTGCCCATAATTTTCCCTTTTGTTTATTATTCGTGTTTTGTACATCCATCTTCTTGTTTGTCTTTTTTTATGTTTACACTTCTCATTTGTTACTTTAGTTTCCTTCTCATTTTGTATTGATAAATCTATTCATGTTCCAATATGTTAATTCTAGATCATTACTGATATCAGCCTATTGGGGGCTCCACTTCTGGATTTTCTTTTATCTACATTTTCGACATTTCTGTGTTCCTAGGCTAACTCAAAACCCTCGTCCTTCTTACGCTTTCTGAATTCTTGGTTCCATGAGGTGTCTTGCTAACTATCCCTGAATTTCCAACATATGAGTATTACTCATTTGATTTTACCTAGATTCATTTGTCAATCAACAGCAGTGGAATTTTAAGGGAATCTCGTTCTGTTTCGTACACATTTTTTGTGCAGGAACCTATGACTTCAGTTTACAGAAGGCTGGGGTATCCTTTTTGTGGACAGTGCTACAGGTTAAATAAATAAATCTATGTTTGATGTCATTGTTGTAAATTTGTTATCTCCCTACTATTGGAGATTTCTATCCCCATCCCCCACTTTTGTCTACATTATTTTTATTTTTCATAATCTTTATCAGTAATAATTCATATTATTATAGATATATACATTTTTTAAAAAGTAATACGCATTTTGAACATATTACTTTCCTGCTCCTGTTTTTGTTTTAGTCCTCAAATGGACTCACAGAGACGGCTTTGCAATTAATAAGAACGCTATACATTTTAAACCGGCCTATGTAGTGTGGCTGTTTGGGGAGGATTTAAATTGTGTCGATGAGGGCGTAAAACATCCACTATTATTATGACACATTTGGCAGGTACCTGCCCTGAACGTTGGTCAGTCTTTTAATTGGTCATTTTCTCTGACATACCATTTTTATTTTTTGCTGACTAATGTAATGATATCTTGCAACCCTGGTCAACATACATCTTTCCTTCATATCAATATCAGAACTTTGTAAGTCGTTCCTTTTAAGAGCAAAACGGTTCCCTTCTAGAATTGAAAAAATAAATACCTGTTCTTTTAGTTTCATGGGTTACCTGTTTGATTGTGTTCCAACTTTTAAACAAAATTCTAACCATTCCAATTCTTGTTTTTCAAAAGTTCCTTCACTTATTAGTACTTTGTTCCATAGAAGGTAGTAGGAAGTTGTTGCAAGCTTCACATTAATATATCTTTTTGATTTATGATAATCTTTAATGTTTAATTTTAAGTAGCATAAAAATTTTAGGCGCATAACTTTCCTATTTGTACTTAACACAAAAGGACAAACGTTTATGTTTCTGTTATTCGCTAACACCTGTCTTAATTTGTTTTTTCGTTTTACAATTATAAAATGTCGTTTAATTAATTTTTAATGTTCCCATTCTTTTTGTGATTTGAACTTACGTGAATAAACATTAAAAAACTCTTCAAGTCTCGTTTATTATTTTATTTTTGCATTTTTTAATTTTGTTAAAAAATATACGATTCCCATTTCTTGCACCAAAAAAGATAATTGATTATTATACGATCACAAACGTTGACTCGAACGCATGTACAAACACACACTCACACATACGTACTGTATATACACAAACACACACTCACACGTACGTGCGTGTATTCACACACACAAACCACTCACTCACTCACACACACACACACACACACACACACACAAACACACACACACACACACACAAACACACACACACACACACACACACAGACACACACACACAAACGCATGAGGCTTGCCGACAATAACATTTTCCTTGGTAAACTTATCAAATGCAACGTCATTTAATTTTTTTTTTTAAAATAAAGACAATAACATCAAATTCACCACCAACGCATCAAAGTTACCAATGTGACTGACTGGTTACTCTTTTCATTGCTGGATTTTGACGATCACAAAATAGTATATTATTTATCAAGGTTGCGTCATGCCTTATTTTCTTATTACAAAGAGGACGCACAACAGGTCAGTTTTAACTGAGTGTGTAATAACCCCTTAAGAAGAAGTAGATTTTTTCCCCCTCTCTTTTTATATGGGCCCCTGCTTGTGCGCAATTTTATTTTTTAGTAAACTTACGATTAAAATCGAAAAGGGAGTTTTGTTTGTCAGAATGTAACAAAGTAACACAAATATTATGTCCTGAATGGTACAGTAGTTATGTTTATATTCAACTTTAGATGCACAGAACATGGACATCAGTGCCGGGGAGAAGTACGTAACCCTTTCACGTCAACCTGTAATTTGAAAAAAATATTGCTTAATAAGACCGATTGTCTTATATTTAACGTTGGAAGTCTCAACGATGACATTAAAGAAATTAACCCAAAATATATATATATATATATTTTGTGTTGGACGAATGTTTTATTTTGTTATTGTTTTGGAGCGTGTTTTACGGCGCTCACAACTGCATAAGGTCATAATGATCACGCGAGGCACATTAAACATTTTCAGTTTGGTAGGAATTGTGAATTTTGCCCTGGTGGCGGTCAAAGTCTACTCTTATTGATTTTATGACAACCAATGGGTCTTTAACGTGCGCAGCTTGCACTATAGGACCTACGAGACTTTTCGCCCTTTACGGGGAAGGCTAAGTGTTAGGCCTTACCATATGCTCAGGGCTATTGCTGAAAGACAACAGTAAAAGGGAGCCAATGAGTAGCAATAGAAAGGCTGCAGAAAAGGTCAAGAATCTAGTGGACA